AGGTTGTTAATGAGTCTTCCTCCAATCCTGATGCCACGTTTTTCTTCATAGAACCCAGCTTCTCGGATTATTTGCTCAGCATACAGGTTGAATAAGTATGTCATCTAATTTGTTGTTGTTGTTAAGTGCCTTCGAGTCGGTTCCGACCCATAGCGACCCTGTACAGGGTAGATACTCAACAGATATTTGTTAAAGGAATAAAATCACAACAATGTTTAATGAAGGAACTTTGATGGCACAGATTAACATCCTACTAGTAGTTAACTGAAATGTTGGCCTAGTGGTGCTGCAGGGAAAAACATAGCAATCGGCTTCTATAAAGAATACAGCTTATGGGGCAGTTCTACTCTGTCGTATGAGGTTGTTATGACTTGGAATTGCCTCTACGGCACCTAATAATGTTTAATGAATGCTAAGTAATCTATGAGACCTAGCGTGGTGTTGTAGGATAAGCACTGGACTGCTGACCATAAGCTCATTTTAAGCCCAGCAGTCACTCTTAGAAACACTATACAGGGTTGCTATGAGTTGGAACCAACTTGATGGCACACAACAAGAAGAAGTAATCTATGTGACAGGCACTGTGCAAAGTTCATTAGGCAGGCTGTCTCCTTTAATTCTTACCTACCTGCAAGATACCAATATTACACCAATTTTAAGGAAAACAAAGGTATTGACAAATTAAGTGCTTTATCTGATTATATTCCGCTACAAAATACTGGAAGTCCCTAAGTGGTACAAGTAGTTAACATGCTCAACTGTTAACTAAATGGCTACAAGTTTGAATCTTTCTAGAGATACCTCAGAAGAAATCCCTGGAGATCTACTTCCAAGAAATCAGCCATTAAAAATCCTATGGAGTTAGGATCTGCTCTTACACACATATATGTTTGTCATAAGCCAGAATCAACTTGACAGCAACTTGTTTTGTTTTAATAAATACTGAGACCTGAACATGACATATATCTGATCTCAAAGTTCTCATTCTTAGTCCAATAGGAGCGGTGGTGGTAGTTAGTGGTTGTGTGTGTGCCACCAAATTGGTTCCAGTTCATAGTGACTCTGTATAGGGTTCCAGAGGCTGTAACCTTTATGGGAGCAGAAAACTTCATCTTTCTCCTGAGGGGTGGCTAACTTCTGACCTTGCAGTTAACAGTCCAGCACATAATCCACTTAGCTTCTAGGGCAACTTAAATAGGAATGGGGGAAGAAATTGTTGTTGTTAAGTGCTATTGAGGCATTTCCAACTCATAGTGACCTTGTATACAGTGTCTGATAAGTGGCTGGTGGGTTTGAACAGTCAACCTTTTGGTTAGAAGAACAGTGCTTATCCTACAGCACCAGATACTATGATGTAAATGATTGATAGTATAACCTTTCTAAATATTTGTTTTTTAAAGAGCACTTGTATTATACAGCAAAGGAAGCAAAATTAAGTCTGAAAAGAACCTTAACTATACATACTTTCTAGGTGAAAAGTAAGTCAGATTTCTTTCACCAATAATGGGATTTGGAAATGAATTGATTATACACTGGAAGGTCATTATATCTGCCTGAGACTATATAAATTGCTTAAAGGATAAAAGAATGTGAATTGGAAAACTATTTGGCACATATCACTTCAGCCCACTTAACACAATTTCTTTTAAATCTTACACATCTATCTTCTAATAACACTTTGAGTTAACTGCTAGGGAAAGAAACTGACTCTCTTTGCCTTACTATACAGCTCCTCAGATGTCTTTTGGGATGCAAATAAATAACTAAGTGCTGCCAATACCACTTACTGTTTACTGCCTGGAGAGCTGAGTACTGTGAGACAGATCCAGAAAGGTGAGCAGTGTTGAGTAAAGAATATTTAGTTATCACCTCCATTCTCAATTTATAACTTTGATACGCTTTATATTTCATAACTTTTAATACACTGACTGCATGCTTCTTTCACCTCCATAGGAGACTAGTAGTCTTTGAATCAGACCTTTCTAAATTTCTGTTCCAGCTTTGAAATTCACTGGCTTTGGTACGTTGGACAAGTCACTCATTGGAACCTCATACCCTATTTTGTAGGGGAAAACACCTACCAATCAGGGTGGTAGAAGGATTAAATGAGAGAACTTATTAGGAAACCAAAGGATGCTATTTACAAACTTCACCTCTGTACATAGGAAAGATTCACGCTTAAGGAAAACTCTTTAACTGTTTTTGTAAGTCTGCTCTAGCAGATTCATTAGGAAAATTTAGTTAAACTACAATTCAACTCAATAAAATGATGTACTCAACCAAACCCAGCAAGAGAGCCAAAGAATCAAACCAATAACTTGATGTAAATTTGGCTACTTTAATTTTAAAGGAAACCTTAAACAGTAAGGCAAAATTACTAATAAAAAGGCACCAACAATGCCCAAGGGTGTGTCAACTCAGAAAGAATTCTTGTTCTCTAGGAATCAACAAAGCTTGAGGGAGTCATTAAAGCCAAAATCGTGATCTTCCAGCGTTGTCCTTCAAATGATGTGTACACTAAACACATTTTCTGTGCATCTGGAGGCTTTGTTATAGACAGAAGGATCCTGCTTCATGAGGCTGCTTTTTAGATTCTAACTTTTTTAAAGGGGAATTTGGAAAACTTCCCAGACACTACATCTGCCCCTAGCCCTTGCACCTCAGAGTATAACGCCGGCAAGAGAGACAGCAAGGATGACTAAATTTATTAACGGTGGATGGACCACTCTATCTTTCACTGCAACAACAGTAGGTGATCCCATCAAAAATCTGTCTGCTGGCTAGCCAGCAAATCCAAGTTGATATCCTTACAACAGATACACACAGCTAAATGAACAAAAGCAGCTTGCTCAAAGAAACACATCACAAGCCAAACGTAGCACCAGGGTTATGGTTATTTCTATGAGGAAATATACATACATAAAATTTTTAAATCCATATACTCTTTTTTTTTTTTTTTTAAAGAATCCATATATTCTTTTTATTTGTGAATTGAGTGACGGCTTATATATAGGACAGATCATCCGTTTTGCATTCAACAAATCATTGCAATGATTATAATCTCTTCTAGGCACCATTAGCTAACAGTATTTACCTCCATTATCATTTTAAAATATTGTTTTGATGAACACATATCACATTGAAAATATATACTCATTTAAATGACCAAAGGACACATTTTGCAAGCTAGGCTCCTGCCCACAGGCATGCTGCTTTTGTCAGTCCATGGGCTTATGTTGTTGTTGTGAAGAGTCATCAAGTCAATTCCGACCCATGGCGACCCTGTGTAGGGTTTCCAAGGAGCAGCTAGGGAGCTTGAACCACCGACTTTACAGTTTGAATGACTTTGTAGTCTGATGCATTAGCCTGCAGCGCCACACCAGGACTCCCGGACCGCTGCTATTCTATCTCTCTATGCCATCGCCTTTGCCACCATCTCTGTCCATATATCCTTTTTATCGCTCCTTTTTTTGTCATTCAAGAATATTAAACAGACATTGAACATTTTAGGGGAGTTCAGTGGTTGAATTAGGAAGTATTCAGTGAAATTTTTGATATAATGGGCAAGTAGTTAAATACGCATTCATCTCAGTATAGCTGAGCTAATACATAATCATGATTCATTACAAATATAGATCACAGCCAGCCTTACCCAAAAGCAAACTATTTACTATTTTAGGTGAAAAATCAGACAGTGACATTTGAGCTACGTTTTATTGCTCAAATTTATTTTACTGCCTTCAACATAGTCAATATGTGAAAGAATTGCGATTTCCTACAAAACTACTTTCTCCTTGATTATATTTACATTTTATGAGTTTACAGAGTGATATATACTGGAGTCCTAGTGTGGTGCTGTGGGCTAATGCATCAGACTGCAAAGTTGTTTGAACTGCAAGGTTGGTGGTTCAATCTCACCAGCTGCTCCTTGGAAACCATACACAGGGTCGCTATGGTTCAGAATCAACTCGACAGCACTTAACAACAATATATATCTTATATTTAAAAGTTCTCCAAAAACAGAAATAATCGTAGGCTTCTGTATGATCTGAAAGCATGCTCTAAAATTCCATTTATATCTGTAATCCATAGATATAAATGGATTCCAGAATATTGTAGTACCAATGCTTGATAGGGCCAAGAGTAGGGTGGTGCTAGTAAGGCAGGGGTGCCTAAGTGCAGTGTTAGATATGTCTCAATTAAAACTATTTATATTTTTTCATCATTGCATTTTTGTAATGATTTTGATTTTTCTAAATATGTGCATTAAAATATTATTTACCCAGATAATTTAGTTTTCTGTTGACTCTCAATTCTCACCCTATTCTTGACCCATATGCTTTCTGTAAAAGTAGTTACTCCCATATGCTTTCAACAGGACATGGAGTAGTAATTAAAGTTACCCCAAATAAGTGTTAGAAATGCTTACGGGTTGTTGTTGCTGTTATTATTATTGCTGTTCTTTGAAGTGTCTATAACCTGTTGTACTCTGAAAACTGCCAATACTATTCAACATTACTCAAAGTTGTTTTCCCAAGGAACACTTTTCTCAAACAGTAGTTAATTACTGTTCTGAGGACATTTGCTAAATAGCGTTCTAAAGTCATCTTAAATTCATACTTTGATCCAGCCAGGCTGCCTTTCCTTGTCTTTTTCCCCCCTTTTCTTTTCATTTCTTCCACATACCCCACATTTCCACAAAAATTCTGAAAGGAGGGGCATATTAACACACTCTATCTAAATTCATAAGAAGGCTTAATTGGTATTTCTACGAATACAGATAACAAAGTTTCATTGTAAAGGGATATCAGAATGATTTTTTTAAAAAAACCAACCACTATGGGGCTCTTAAATAATGCAATATCAAACATACTTACCTGTAAAATCTCTATTGACTGGCACAGTAGAACTTGGATATTTACAATATCCATTTCCGGTAAAACGAATTCCTTTCATCATTCTGGCCCTCGGAGCTCCTAGAGATGACGCTCGCCTTTCCAGATGATATATAGGAGAGGGCCCATTCAGTTCTTCAGGTGGAAACCATTTAAGATGGATGGTTGTGCTGTTGATTACTTTGATAGGAGGTGACCTCAGTTGGGCTGGTGCTATATATTAGAAAACACTTGTTATACTCAGGGATTTGGTTTCTACCATGAGATACAAATATTCACATTTTGTTAAGTGCCATCAAGCCTGTACATTAAAAAAAAAAAAAAAAAAGTTGCTGTTGAGTTGATTCTGACTCATAGTGACTCCATGTGTATCAGAGGAGAATAACAACTATGAGATCTGGCAATCACAATTTCTTGTTATGTGCTCCATAGAGTTTTCAATGCTTGCTTTTTCAGAAGATCTAGATCCTTCTTCTGAGGCACCTGTGGAGAAACCAAACCTCCAATCTTTAAGTTAGCAGCTGAGCCAGGTAAATATTAGTACTACCCAGCGACTTCAAGGTACATATGGGGGTGGTTGTGTGCCACCATCCAGTTGCTTCTGATTCATAGTTACCTTATATAGGAGGGTATGTGAGGCTATAAAACTTTATGGAAGGTGAAAGCCTCATCTTTTTCTATGGAGTGACTGGTAGATTCAAACTGTTGACTTTGTGGTTAGCAGCCCAGGACATAATCCACTACCCTATCAGGGCTCCTTAAAGTATACATTGGTGTTGTTAAATGCCTTTGAGTCAGTTCTTTTTAAAAGCAACTTTATAGGTTTTCTAATGGGCTTCTGGTGGGTTTGAACCACCAACCTTGTGGTCAGCAGTCGAGTGTTTATCCTAGAGTGTCACACCAGGACTCCAATGTACACACACTTTCAAAACCAGATCAGTATGATCTCAAGTATTTTTATGGTTCCAGGAATTGAAAATATGATATAGAGCTTACTTTGCTACCAAGCCCAATTTAAACTGAAGAATATATCCATATCAGTCATGAGGTACAACACTGTCTGTGATAGGATAATATCCATGCATCTATAGGGAAGACCCGTTAATACCAGTATTATTCAAATTACACACGAAACACTAAAGCCAGTGAGGATAAAATAGAAGAATTCTACCAACTTCTTCAATCTGAAATTAATTAAACATGCAATCAAGATGTATTGGTCATTAGTGGTGATTGGAATGGAAAGGTTGGGAGCAAACAGGAAGGATCAGTAGTTGGGGAATAGGGCCTTCATTATAGAAATGATGCTGGAGAATGCATAATAGAATTCTGCAAAACCAAAGATTTGTTCATTTCAAATACCATCTTTAGAGCCAAAATATGCTCTTGAATATGTCCCATCTGAATTTAGAGATCATCTGAAGAACAGATTTGATACATTAAACACTAAAGACCAAAGACCAGAAGAGTTGTGGGATGACATCAAGACCATCATACAGAAGAAAGCAAAA